GGGTGGAGCTCCCTGCTGGCCGCAGCTCCCCGCGCCGGCTGGGACGCCCTGAGAACCAGCCCAGCAGCTGCCAAAACTCCATCATTGGGCTGAAAAATCGGGTACGGGCTGAGGCAGCTCGGCCCTGGTGCTCCGACACCGCTCCTTCAGATGCTGCTTCCAAGCAGCAATACCTACCGTAGGGCTCGCTAGGTATTTTTGTTTCTTTTAAAGGGGATTTACTGGGAGGAGCGTGTCGGACCACAGCGCTGGTCCGTCGCTTCTGCTGAACGCACACCACTGCTGCACCCCAGCGCATCCCTTTGCCATCTCTGCATTCACCTAACTGGCCACAGCAACCGATGCATGAGTGACCTCAGGCTGTATTGCTGCTGCTGAGACCTGAAGCATCAGCTCCCCTCTGCCTCACCACCTTAACAGCAGGTATTTCCATTTGAGAAGTGTAATAAACTTGTGACACAAAGATCTGCGTGTTTTTCTTAATGGTATGAAGAAGGGTCATGTTCAGAGACTGTGTAGCTGAGCAAAATATACAATCGGGATCTAAAATCATGCAGGTACTTGCTAAATCACACTATAAATTCTTGGGCCTAAAATAGTTTTCCCTCCCATTCTTGACTGATACCAAGTGTCTGCCCTATACTGAAGTAGTATAGTAGGACACGTGTCGTTACATGATGCACATTTGACAGAGGTTGTGGGTCTGCACTACTGCCTACTGCAGCATTTCAGTCAGAGAACATTAAAATAAAGTATCACGTTCAACAGAACTTACGGGAATGGCAACATACAGTCTGTGGAGAAAGACCTACCTGTAACCGGAGGCTGCTGGCTCTCAGTGCCGAGACGATGATGAGAAGCAGCCGGTCGCACTGAAGGCAAAGGGAACCAGCTCCTGCTGCCACCTCCCCGAAAGCGTCTCTTTTCTGACTGGGGCTGATGAGCACAGTTAACTTCGTCCGATGTAGCTGACAGTAATCCTATTAATGCCCCTAATTCAGATTAAATACTATGCAGTTGCAGAGAGATTAAAATACAAAGTGAGAGAAAGCTTGTTATTCCAAGGATAGGGACTGTAGTAAGGGGGGTCCGTACACCACTCTCGCACTCCTACCGCTCCCACCCCCTCTCCCAGGTCTGCAGAGCAAAGCTCCCGTTTGTCAGGCTCTCGGGGAATAGCCCGGCAGTCCTGGATTAAGAAGATCTTCACCTGCCTTCCCTTGGTGGTCTCAGTACCAGCACTGCCACCAAACCCGCTCCCCCTCAGCGGTGGCGCCTGCCGGGCACGGGCTGCAGGCGGTAACAGACTGTGCTTTTCCCTAACCCTCGGGGCAAGTACTTGAAGCACGCGCCTGTCACCACATATTAAAGCAATAAATAGTAGTAAATTGTTGTAGTGAATTACATGCCACTACTTAAAATTTTGGATTTTAATAAAGGGAGGAAGTAAGAGTTCAGAGAATGAGCAAGAAGCCTGCAGATAGTGCTTCCATTGCAAGGAAAAATTAAATGTGTATCGTCCGACACCTTCCTGCAGGGCATGAACTGGAGGACAGCGGCAGCCACAGAAGTTATTTCCTCCTTCAGTTCCGGTCAGACCAGTTCAGACAAGCCACCTTTGGTACACACCGTGTTTCTTCTCCCGGCTCCTTGCAGCATTGGGCACGCAGCCAGCACAGCCAGCACCCAGGCCTGCTCCTCAGGGGATGGGCAGAGCACCCCTGAGCCCGCCCATTGAGCAGCAGCACCAGGGCCCTGCTACAGTCGGGGCTTCTCCTCAGGGCTGTATTTGCTTTTCAGCTGTTGCCTAAGGCCTTGGCAAAGCCCCGAGAGCACCACCACTCTACTCTTCACACAAGAGGAGACCGAAGGTATAGTCCACCCGTAGTCTTTGTGGCAGTCAGACAGCAAAGCAAAACTGATCAGCGACATCAGACCAGAGCACAGCAGTTACCCCCCTATCAGGGACTAAAAAAAAAGTTCACCCCCCCCAAGAGGCAAGTGGAGCTACAAATCCAATTCACTCCACACTCTTTTAAAGCATCTGCTTCTGTTTAGTTTTGGATTTTTTTTTTTTTTTTTGAAAAAAGCAGTGTTCAAACCTGCATAAGCTTACTATGAACCACATTGACAGACTACTCCACCATCCCCCCAAAAGGCACCAGTTAAGAGTATACTTGAAGTGGCAACACACCCAGTGGTGGATCCGCAGCACCAACTTTTATTTTGAGCCAATGTAAGCCAGTTGCGCAGGGGCTTAGACACACAAGGAAAAGGTAGAATCATTCTCTCCCCTTCTTGAGGCGTAATTTGCACCACACAGCGCTGTCCTGGGTTGCAGCCCTGGATCTTCCTTGGGAAATGGTATGCAGGGAAGTACTTCAGGCCAAAGCAGGTGGGATCTGTTTGGCATGCACGATGAGCAATTATATTGTACTCTGAAACACTGTTTGCATATATCGGTATCAAAGAAATTCCAGCTACTACAGCTAGCCGTACCAGCAGGGCTACAAGAGCAGTGGCCTCAGTCAACAAGAGGCATGCAGACATGCACTGAGCATGACAGAGCTACGTTAGTTACAAGCACTACATAGAAACCATCCAGCTTTTAGATTTTGAGTAAAATTCTGACTTGCAATTACAACGTAAGTAGTAACGCTTAGCAAATCAAATTGAAATACATACTGTGTTCAAACTCCAGGTTGTTTTTAATGGCAAACTGTCTTCAAGTACAATGAGTATTTCTGCTCTGACCGCTGTTATCATTTAGAGAGGAATTTTTTTGACTGATCTGTAAGTTAACATAAAACAACTCTCTTTAAGACTGCATAACAGAGTCCTGTTAAATTACCTTAGGCAATTGTAATTTGGATTTAGTAAAAAGCCATGCAGCAGTCTGTTCTGTCTAGAGAAAGACCTCAACTGGAGCAGACTGAAGTGCATATCACTTCCTGGAACAGGGGGATGGCTGATAACTTTAGGTTAAAAAACAAAAAAGCTTTCCCCCATCATTATTTACTCCCTTTCCTACTTCCACATTAAATCCAGTAATAAATACTTCTTAGACTGTATCTTCAAAACAGAAGCCATTTTGTACCTCTTTTAGCTGGCCTGTAAAACTGTTCTGACAAGTTGAGTCCAAATTGAGAATTTTCTTTACTTTCAAGTAAATGTTCATCAAGCTTTATGAAATCTTTGCTTTACAGAGCCAGAAGTTAAGATTTCCTACCAGCTGGCACTCATGTGAAATACACTTGCAACCAAAAGGTAGAAATTTTACCTCCAACTAAAGGATTAAAAAAGTCCCCTTTGACTGCAGGACCCAGAACTTAATACACCATTTGAAAGCCCAGACACCCCTTCTCTTCCTCCCCCCCAGTTTTCAAGTAGGGGAAGTTAAAATGGGAAAGAAAAGGACCTTGAAGAAATCAAGGAGCCCCAGTAACATAATAAATCCTCTGAACAGTTTCCGCAGTTCCAGTTACTCAATGTACTTCTAGTAGCATGCTTTACCTTCACTTTGTGGGTATAATTAAATAAAATAAAGTCCAGCACAAGAGAGCATTGAGGTTTCTGAAGACTCATGTAGCCCTTCTCTTAGGAGTCAGGACTATACAGAACCAGCTGAAGTCAAAAGTTACTCTTCAATAAACACCATTAAAAAAAGAGCTGAAGGTTCTGTGCAACTTGCAGAGCTGGACTAACCCATGCTGCGCCTCAGGGGCACTACATTCACACTAGCTCAAAGACTACCCCTCTCTGTACATCTGTATGTACTGCAGGTTTGCTGTTCGGTGTTAAGAACAGAATCTAAGGTCATACTCTAAGAAAAAAAAACACACACCCCCCCAAAAAAACCCCAAACCACCACAAATTGCCTTTTGGCCTTCCAGGAACTGATGACTTTCACTTCATACAGGTTTATCAAGCTTAAATTATTTACGGTTTAATACAAAGCTGAAATAATGGGCTAGAGAACAGGCAGCTTCTCAAAACAATCCTGTATACATCTGTTTTATAGTTACCTCTTCTGCCTAACCCCTCCCAAAGTTAGCCTGAAAAACAGTAAAATCTACACAAAGTTTTATTGCAATCATACAAGGGATACATCAAGGGTCAAATACAACAAATACTATGATGCAATTTTACATTTATTAAACTACAGTTCAAAGCACAAATTTACACATTCTAAATACACTAAACATCTAATGAAGTCACACTGGTCTCCCACTGACATTTGATATATCTGGGCGAAAGACAATAACTTTACAAGACTGTTCTAACAGGAATCCTTAGTATAAAAACTGTGTACTTGTATGTAAACTGTTGAAGAACCCAAGTGATGGGTTTCCATCTCCACTAAGTCATCCATTTTGTTGCATATTTAAACGCTCAGGGGTTGAATGAACTTGATTTTAAATTTGGACACGATTATCTAACCCTCCCACCCCCCAGTGAATTGTAGCTGTAGCTTGTTTTGCCTGGTCCCCATTAGCTATTACTATTTTTTCAAGTTTTGAAGAGAATGAATTGAATTCAAGATTGTTCCATTTCTTCCACACTGGAATGTTGACCAGACAAACTACAGACTTGCAACTGCAGGTCTAAATGAAGCGTTAATGCCTGTTTAAGCTGCAGTGGAAAAGCGGTCTTCCGGGCTCAGCTGAATGCAAGAAGGCACAAAGAAGAAGTTCTTCATCAATGTGTCTGAAGCAATTCCAGCATCTTGCATCTCATCCCTGCAGCAGAAAGGGATGAGAGTTGTAATAAAGTGATTTCGCATGCAATTCCACATCAGAAACCAGCCTTGAATATAGCGTTTGAGGTCTGCTGCCCCTGGATAGGCTGGCCCCGGTCTCAGCAGAAGGGAGAATCAGCTATGCAAGTGCTTGGCAGGCACAGAAAGGCCAAGACTCTCCACTGGCAGAAGCACAGGGCCCTGCTACCTCGGTATTGGCACAGGTTACCCAACTCTCACCATCACCACAACAGCGTTACTGCCCTTCCTGCCTACAACCACGGTGCTAACATTGTACACAAGTTGCAATTACTAGTATCTGGAAACCTCAACAGCTGATGTCGAGCAGCAAAAGACTATTACTCAGCAATAACTACCACTAAACTCAGTCCACATTGGGTACTTCGCTTTCCCCTTTGTCAACCCTAAAGCAAGGTAGGCATTTTATCACAGCACTCAGTTTAGCCTTAGCAAAGTCAGACAGAATAGTTAAAAACTGAAAAAGCACACTCTTGTGCTCAGTTGCATCTTCCTGTATTTGCCAAATATCATTTATATTTGGCTGTAAGTGTACACTCTTGAAGGGAGTGAAAACAATCTTGTCACTAGCAAGAGAATTTTCTTACCAGTCACTGAAAGACATCATGTAGTAAATCAGTGGCCTCTGATAGTCGTTAAAGGTAGACTGTTCACCTAAGGTACCGGAACCCATATTATCAAAGATCAGCCAATCTCCAACGCTCAATTCAGGAAGAAGACAGTTTTCCACAATTAGATCAAGCTCGTCACAGGATGGACCCCAAAGGCTGCTTGCAAACAGAGGCTCATCTTCCTTGTATTTCTATTAGAAATGATCCGGGTAATTCAGGCTTTAGTTTATTAAATAAGAAAAGTTTCAAATATATATAAGGATGATTTCATAAATAATAGTTATATACATATGAGGTGTTAAATATATATAAAACCCATAAGGATAATAAGGACTATCTCTGAAGAACATAGGACTCACCTTGTGAACCTCTGGGATAGTATTCAGTTTCTCAGACAATTTACTTGCAAAAGAACCATAAACACCATCATTTATGTAATATGTAAATACCGGTTCATCATCATTCCTGGTTTGCTCCACTGGAAGTAAAAAAGAAGACGTTGTCTTGCGTGCATTTTTTGTCACAAGTAGTCCTTTTGCAATCTAACTTACATCAACTGCTCTCTCCTGACAAGGGGGTTCCACATATACTGGAATGGGAGAATTACGAGCAGAGTAATCTGTATGAGACCAGATTATAAATTCAGTTGTAACATTAAGTGTGAGGCTTAATAAAATTAATACTTTCAGTAATAATCAGCGTTAAGAATATAAATCCAATTTCTGCTTTAGCAGAGAAGCAGCTAGCTCTATATGTTTTTCTATGTTCTTCTAATACACCTTCTGTAAAGCACCCAATATAGGTTTAATCACTGAGAAGTCAAACCTAGTAAGGAAACAAGTGCTACGTAAATGTAACAAAGAAAGTGAGATGCACAGATAACTTATGGTCAGAACCCAAAAGGTGGATTACAATGCAATTACGTAAGGGAATGTATTAAACATATGCTGAGACAAACTAGTCTGTCCTGACTAAAAAAAGCAGGCAGTTACCTGTACCGATTCATAATACATAAGATAAATACAACCCTTACCTCCAGAAGGAAGAAGTTTATCATACTCAGCAGTCTTCTTTGCAATTATGTTAACTGCTAGTGTAAATGCAGATGAAACGTAGTAAAATCCAGGCTCTGCAATCACATTAACACCAGATTCCTTAGGAAAGTAGACATCCAGCAGTGGCCTGATGACACGATTAACCTAAGAAGAAATTTAAGTCAGAGGTAAGACCAATGAAACTCAGCCTATGTATACATCAGATACTCACACACACGTTCAGTCAGCAACAGTTCTAGGTAAGCACACCAAAAGCTTACTCTGTTCCTCTAACCTCTGACAAGTGCCCTTACCAGAGGTTCAAAATTTACCCAAGTGTTTAAGAGAATAGGTCATTCTGCTAAACACTGAAGATTGAGTACCATGAGTCTGAATACTACACAGTCCCTCCTCCCAACCAACGTTCAAGTTGTGGTACACTCAAAACTGCACAAGTAATTTCAAAGTTTGTCCAGCACAACAGAGAATACAAAATTACGTATGAATCCAGAAGAACAAGGGAAGGGCCTTTTTGTGATCAGTTCTGAATACTGTCATATTAGAAACAGAATTAATTATTTAATACTGATGCTCAAATCTTAAGCCAGATATTTGAAGGTAAACAAGTATTTTGGACAAGTAACAGAACAGTTAGAACTAAGAAAGGAAAGCCCCAATTGTTGTTAGTAACTCCTCATTGAATCACTTTCACTATCCTACATTCAAGGAGTTTGTCTTTAAGACAATGTAACAGTGTGAACAGGTTATTCTGTTTTGTGTGCTACTGCATATTAAAGATCCCATTTAGGCCAAATCAGTATTAAGAGTTTTATTTAAGGCTAGCCAAAGCAAAGATAATACCAAGACCTTTAGTCTTCAGTTCTAAAGCAAAGTACCAGAAACTTTCATACAGTAGCAATATGGTTTATGATCCAAAGCATGCTAAGCAGTCCTGGCCCAAACCATGCAACAGAGTAACCAGCTGGACAACAACAGTCAACTGCCGAAAAAATTGAATTACTACTGTTAAGGTGGCTTAGGATAGTAATTTCATCTGTGACATGCTTAAGTCAGCATTCACCCAATATGAACAGGATTAAAAAAATAATGATCAACTCCAAGGACTGATTACACTACCCATGATAAAGAATATAAAACTAATTATTTGGATCTTATGAATTAGTCTAACATGGAATTTAGACTAGATTTCAGGTATCAGTGTTAGTTGCAGTTTGAAGGTTAAACACTTCCAACTTCCTAAATCAAAATTACAGTCTCAACTTCCAATACGTTGCATACCTCTTCCAGCTGAAGTTCTGAACCTGTGAAGCCCCCACCAATATCCAACATGTTCATCTTAAAGCCAAATTCTTCCTAAAATGCATAGACAGAACAAGAGTACATGGACAACTGTAACTGTAAAAATATTTTTTGTTGCTCCTTACTGTGGTTGTTTTCTATGTTCTTTTGAGCATATTTAGCAAAGTACATCTAATGAGGGAGTCATGGCATAGTAAAAATTAGTATAGCTCCATTAAACCTAGTAGTAATAGCATTAGGATGTCAACAGAGGCTCATCACACAATTCTCAAGTATAAGTCCCACAGCAATGTCAACTCCCGTCTTGCGGCATTTGCTATATTCAGACAGTATTTGCGGAACAGGACGGTGCATTCTGACAAAAGAAAGTTTTAGGAATTTACAACTATGTATAATGCAAGTCTTCTGGATAGTGCTTACATGACAGGACTGCTACAATGAATTTCATAGAATGGTTTGGAAGGGACCTTAAAGATCATCTAGTTCCAACCCTCCTGCCATGGGCAGGGACACCTTCCACTAGACCAGGTTGCTCAAAGGCCCATCCAACCTGGCCTTGAACACTTCTGGGGAAGGGGAATCCACAACTTCTCTGGACAACTTGTTCCAGTCCTCATCACCCTCATAGTGAAGAATTTCTTCCTTGTATCTAATCTAAATCTACCCTCTTTCAGTGTAAAGCCATTGCCCCTTGTCCTATCACTACGTGTCCTTGTAAAAAGTCCCTCTCCAGCTTTCTTGTAGGCCCCCTTTAAGCATTGAAAGGCTGCTATAAGGTCTCCCCAGAGCCTTCTCTTCTCCAGGCTGAACAACCCCAACTCTCTCAGCCTTTCTTCATAGGAGAGGTGCTCCAGCCCTCTGATCATCTTCGTGGCCCTCCTCTGGACCCACTCGAGCAGGTCCATGTCTTATGCTGAGGACCCCAGAGCTGGATGCAGTACTCCAGGTGGGCTCTCACAAGAGTGGAGTAGAGGGGCAGAATCCCCTCCCTCGACCTGCTGGTCATGCTTCTTTTGATGCAGCCCAGGATACGATTGGCCTTCTGGGCTGCGAGCGCACATTGCTGGGTCATATTGAGCTTCTCATTAACCAACAACCCCAAGCCCTTCTCCTCAGGGCTGCTCTCAATCCATTCTCCACCCAGCCTGTATTTATGCTTATTTGCACAAATGTGAATTTGCACAAAGATCAGTGAGAACTTCAGTTTTGTTGCCCTCTGTGTGCTACCAGTCACAGCTAATGCACTAACTGCAGTAATAAGAGTAAAAAGATTTGCAGCCTTCTCTATTTAGTTTATGAGTTCCTCATTTATAGGAAGGCAGATGTTCAGAGAAGGGATTTTGGAATTTTGCATTATAAGAAATACACATAGAACGTGTAAGACTCGCATGAGTCATCTGAAGCATCCAACAAATCCATTCTTCCTCATCCAAATTTGGATGCTCCCCCAATGAGACACCTTCATTTCTTATGATACTTAGTTATTAATCTCAGAAATCACATGCGCCAAGTTAGTAGTTACATCACAATAAATGCCAGCACACAAATGCTTAGTATTTTAATATAACTTTAAAATGTCAACTGTGTATTTGCAGGACAGATTTGAATTTCAAAAAGCCTTTATCAGAAGTGGAAAACTAATTTTTCATTTGAAAATAGCATACAAGGCTACTGCCTGTCAGTGGGACAGTATTCATTAACCTTTGTCCACAATTAGGATTATAAAGTTTGTTTTACCCCTACCACACGTCTCACAATGAAGTATTTAATCCCTTACTAGAAGTTCATTTCCTACATTGATATATTTTGGCAATAACATAGTTGGCTTGTTAGTATGATTAGAATAGAATGGATCCTCTACTGTAGCAATTGTATGTCTTGATATATCTACTTACAGCCATATCAAACACACACCGAGCATCAGATATAGCATGAATGTACGTTTGCAGTTCCTTGCAAGAGCCTGAAACATGAAATCTGAAAGAAATAAAACCACAGTTAATACACCGAACCGTGCAGCTTTCAGACCAAGCAAACTGTTTCACCATCTAAAGCAGCAATAGAAGCAATTCATTCCCACGTGGCTCAAGGCAAGCTTGCATGATAATATAGTAACTGTGCCAAGAACAAGCTCAGAAAATGATTGCCTTCTATTCCATTGGATTTGTACTTGAGGTCTGTCTTACTTTTAACGCTACGAATGTCCTACAGTATTCTCATCTTTAAGAAATAACAGATTTACTGAACCTGTCAGTCTTCACTATCAAAGTGGTTAAAATTTTTTCTTCAGTGGGTGCCAATGCTAACACAGTACCTGTATACAGTCTCTCCTCTCTTGTCCTACTTTGTGTTGCCTTGCCTGTATACCCTTTCTCCTGGACCACCCAGTTTTCTTCCCAAAGCTAGGGCTGTACTGTGCACACTATTACTCTCTCCAACATTGGGGAGAGGGTGAGGAGAGGAGTGTTCCACTGCCACCCTGTTCTGAAGCCTCTTCACCCCAGGCCAGGCCCTATTTTCATAGCAAGACTGAACAGGCTGGTGAGCAGGTCATCAGAAGCAGAGAAGTACTGATGCCTCCCACAAGCTCATGAATCCCCTCTGGTTCCTTGTCCAAAAGGTTTAAATAGTGCCATAACACTGGTAGTAACTGAGGTGCTAAACAAGCGCCAACGTTCCCACGGGCTTCTGAAAGACTAGTATAGGCTGCTGGTTCTGGACAGACCATACACATACCCATCTGAGCCACAACATTCTCTACTCCAAGTCTATTCCTTTAAGGAATGCTGTTTGAGGCAAAAGTCACTTTTTTAAACTTACTTGCATGAATCCACATGTAGATTTTTTTTTTAAATAAAGAAAATGCACAAAAGCCATGTGGTTTTTGTTAAAGTTAGTTTAGACATTATATAAAAAAGAGGTACATTTTCTCAGTAGTATCATCTAATTTTTAAATACATTTGTTACTTGTAATGATTATAGTACATTTATGCTTTAATTTAACGTCAATTTCAAACAGATTTACATCAAAACAATTGTGGTTTAAATCCTCAATATCTGGCTTCCATTTTAAATACTTTTTGCTGTCTTGATGACCCACCCTCTTCTACTTGTTTGGTTGCCTTCTTAAAACATTCATGAGCATGTGATACATTAATAGCTGAAGGTAGACAGAACAAAGACTTGTGCATGGATTTTGCTTCCATGTAGTAAAATCTTTGTCAAACTTCAAATTAAAATACCACAGATCATTTGGAAGCTCTCAGAACACTAGGATTCATTCCCACCATCTGCAAGTGAAGAAACTTATCTAAATATTATGTCTTGATATGATCAAAGAGTGACATAGGACCTAACTCTTACAAAATCCAATCCCATGTTCATCTTGTTCAGTCTGTCCAAGCTATCCCATGCTATACTAGTGCCTTATTTATTGCTGGAAAAATACAAATCAAGTTACCATGGAAGTTCAAGAGCACAGCTAGAAAACAGGGAAGGCTCCTAAACTTTGCTTTTATGCTGACAGAAGGATTTCTGATACTCTATTTCAAATCGCTTTGATGTCTATAAGTTACTTCATTTCACACAATTTTTTGCCTGGATATATATTACTTTTGGCTTGCATGATCCAAAATTTCTTTTTTTTTTAAACCCTGTAAAATAGTATCAAAAGGGGAAAAAAATCTTCTGTATTCGACATCTTGAGTACATCATATAAACATCTGCTCAGCTAGCAGGGAACAATAAAGTTACTCACTTGACACCAACTATTTGGACTCCCAACTCCTTAGCACATTCCATGAGGTGCCTACAGTTCTTCAGGGTGGTGCCAAACTTCATATTCATCTCCTCATCAGCAGTAATGTCTTCTGTGGCAATGTGCAGTAAGAGCCTAAGAGAAGGGGAAGATGATTGGGGCAGTTGGTTTACATCATCAGCACATGTGAAGCCTGAAGACTGTCAGAAGTGTGTTGATTATGTTGTCAGTACTCCAGCTCCATCGATGGATGAGTCAAGTGAACCTAATAAAAACAATCCTGTACAGAGAAAAAACTAGCAATTAGGGGCTAAAACATGGAGCCAACAAGGACAAGGGATTTCGAAATGCAGCAACTAAGACTCTTTTGTAGCAGCAAGAGTCTGTTGAGTGCTGTAATAAAAGAGAATGTTACCTTCTAATAAAGTGTACTTCCTCATAAAACCATTAAGACTAATATGCTTTTCCAATCTCTGTCCTCCTTTCTAGCCAAGAGGAGAGTATGGAGATTCCCCTTCAGTCAGTCATGTATCAAATTTGGTTAAACTCAGCATCTGGAGAATACCAGGCTGACATATTGAAAGCACACCCTGGCCACATCACTCCACCTCTGCTCCTGGCTGAGCACACAGACCGGGAATGGCATGAAGGTGTCAGTCCATTCCCTGCCCCTTCTTCTAGTGCACTTGTGGAGCAGGGAGGCAATGAGTATCATTCTCTCACAGTCTTATGCAGTGAGACAGCTTCCTCCCTCCAGTCAAAGTCTCATTCTGGATAGGTTTGGCAAACTGCAGTGCCTGTGTTGACAGTTTTCTACATTAAAGTAACACTTGAGCAGCAAAGGCATGTTCACATCAAAACCTCTAGAAGTACACCCCAAAACTCACAAATTCAAACTGCTGCCCACTAAGAATGTTACTGGCTTCCTCCTCCACCCCCCAAATAAAGATCAATTAGTTAGCCATGTGGTAAACTAAACAGAAGTTGTGTCATGACATACATGCAGACTGCACAGAGCATGTTACAGTTAACCAAGATGGAGAGCGTAAACAAGTGGTAGAAGCTCTGCACCCAAAGTGAAATAGTTATTTTCTAGACATGCATAAGCAAAAGGTAGCCTAGCCACTACAAAATACATGTTTGGCCTAACAGCTACCTTACCTTGACTTCTAAAAGCCCTTTCCAAATGTCTCATGTGTTTAAAATGCATTTTGTAAAGAGCAAAAAAATCCTAAGTTCTCACACAGGTTGCCCAGCAATCCTTCTTAGTTTTAATTTATACCACTTCATCCTGAGAAACTGTGACTAGCCTCTCATTGCCCGCTTCTCCACTAGCACAGACAATTCTGTTCAAGAAACCTGTAGTCAAACAGTATTCTGTAAAGCATTTGGAAAACGTGCTAGATAACAAAATTGTCCAAAGTTAAACTATTTAAAATGTAAAAAAATTTAAAATCCATAATACTATGGTTTGTAACCTCACATTAAGATTAGACAAAACCACTTCTTAAAGACATCCAATGTTAAATTTTATTGATGAATTATTACGGCAGCATTGTGAGTCAAGAAGTTTTTCTAGTGCAAACCACTGAAAAAGTGTAATTCTGATTTCTAGAAATCTAATAGGATTCTTCTACATGGGTTTCAGCCAGTTAGGGCAGGGCTAGAGGATGATGTGTATGTGTTTGGGGTTTGGGTTGTTTATTTTCAAGGAAGCATTGATACTTAACAACCATGCCTCTACTGGAGCTCTTAGGGAGCAAGCAGCAGGTTCACCAGCAACCTTAGCAGTTAAACTTTGCCTGGAAAAATCCAAAGGTATAAAGATATGAAAGACTAAGCACTCCCTTCTGACATTTCTCCTCTTAAAAAAAATTTGCAATCATTCAAGTTAAAGACTTCCAAAGGCAGAAACATCAATTACAAAAAGAGACCCACCCAGTACTGAGTTTAGTGCAGAAAGTTACAAGAATTTTCAGAAAATGAGAATTACAGCTTTCTAAGCAGAATTTCCTCAGCCAAAGCATAATTAGCTTCATCTACAAAAAGACAACCTAGCTATAACAACCACACATAGGAAGAATAAGGCTATATAAAGACTTTTGACTTTCTGAAACTATGCCAAGGAAGAAAACTCATAGAAAACTTCAAAGTAAGAGAATTCTAATAAAAGAAGTAAACAAATCTCTACCCAGTAGGAGAGCTGGAGATCAGGTTTCTAGAAAATTTAGATGGGCAAATTGCAGTTCTTTTGTAGAAATTTATTACTTTCTTATCCTTGGTAAACAGGAACTTTTTCAAATATTAGACTGTGGGATCCTTGAAAAGAAGTTGAGTTTATGTTGTTTTTTTCTAGCTCATGAAACTCCTTCATCCTGTCTCCCCGCTTTACAATTTCTCTAGCTCAAGAAAAATCTGCATCCTAACTTCTCTTGCTGTGGGTATTATAATAGGCAACATCTTCTAGAAGAAGCTGTTAGACTCAAGGAAATAAGTCAATATAAAAACTAACAAAACACTAAAACCACCAGTGATAATTGGTAAAACACTAATGACGTAAGAGACAGCTTTTAGCATTGCTAAGGTTTTCAGACGCATAAAGTACGTCAAGACCAAGATTTCACACAAAATTATTTATCATAGATAACATTCTTTGCACAGGAAGTACTCTCCAGTATGCAAAACACTGACAGGCTTCCATGAGGGTGAAGTGTAATCACTAGCAACAGCAACACTAACTCTCAAGGTAGTCTAAAAAAAACAAAACAAAAGCCAGGTGGGATGAGCAGAGTCTCCAGACACTGAACTGAGTAGAATCTTCCCAATTCTACAACTATGGCCACAGTTTCTGAAGAAGACATGACACTTTAATAAGGACTGTCTAGAACCGAGGGCTTTGTCAAGGATGTCAGGAATTCAGTTTCTTAGTGCGCTCTGTGACATTTGTGGGAAGCTATACCTCATTAATCACTGGAAAGCACTGTAAGATTCACTTCGGCTCCAACTCCGAATTTCTTAAAGGTATGGCCCACAGCCAAAGTATTCCTATGTGAAAGACATGATCATGATGCTTAGTGACATGAGCACCTAAAAGTCCAAAAGAGACCATGATACATTGGCAGCAATAAAACTCTCATATTTAACAACCAGAACATCAGCTTTGATCTGGGCCAATACTGATACGACTAAAAATAGAACTGGAGTCAAATTTCTCACTGTTTTAATAGCGGGGAAATACCTGTAGGCATATTTAATAGACCTGCATGCAGAGCATGCCCAAACCCTAAATGGGACCCAATGCACATACTCATTTGCTGATAGTCTCAGCCCTAACTTCAGCTGAGCCACTAATAATCCAAACAGAATACCCTGAAAGAAAACACTGAAGCCACAACAGAGCAGGAGGAAGATGTACTTGCAGATGATGAGGTGACAGACTTCTGAAGTTTAATCACTGAAACCTTTACATGAAGATTGCCCTATGAAATCAAAATGCAAGATTTCTCCCAAAACAAGGGCCCTACTACGGTATTAGGAAGCTGAGACCCAGTAGGGAAAAAGTTGCAAAAGAGTTACCTTCAAAAGAAACATCAGAGAAGAGAAAAATAGATACAAGTGAATTGTATTAAAGAAGCCATGTACCTTACTTGCAATTCAAACAACCCAGAATACAAGCAAAATTAAATTTCCACCACATAAAAAGCAAAACCAGAATTCTGACACTTACTTAGCATTTGGATGGTTACGTGCAATTTTCTTCAGCTCAATATCATTGTCACAAGTCATGATGTTTATCCCAGCTTTCGCTGCATACTTTATCTGAGAAGCTTGCTTGCAAGGATTTGTATATATAATGTTTTCAGGAGAAATGCCCAGGTCTTGTACCAATGCCATTTCAGACTGCAAAACAGGAGCATACCAGAGTTAGTGCACTGGACTGTGTCAATCTTTACTGAATTTGTTCAATGAGCTCTAGTACTGGACTAAATAGTCAAATACACTAAAGAGAAAGCTATCCACTGCTGCCAGGGTGGAAGTATAGATTTGCAGCAGCCAGTTGCACAGGAGTTCACAATTTAAGTTATATATAACCATGGCACTTAATACCAAAAAGCTGATTTTAAAACAGCAGACAGATGGAAGAAAATAAGGCACACAGATAACAAAAACTTACTTTACTGGAACATGCAAATCCAACGCCAAGGGTTCCCAAAATTTCGAGTACACCTGGAGTAGAATTGCATCTTACAGGATAAAATGGTTTTATTGGTGCCATCACGTTCTGCCATTGTATGTTCTTCTTTACAAGCTTTCCAAGATCACCAACATAAAATGCTCTTTTTCCAGTCTAAAAGAAAGGAAAAACAGGAAAATAAAATGTCTGAAATTGTGGGTTTGCTGTCAAAACATAAATAACCCATGAACAAAGTCTTACAGAATTATGTACATTTTTTTCATCCTGCTATTAACTTTTAGGTTTGACCTTGAACAATCCTCTTGTTTTTAACTTTCACATAGCAATTTGAACTAGTTAAAAAAAAAAACAAAGGGAATACCTACCACTTCAGAGATATTACGAATGCTATTTAGACAATATTCCGAGATTCCTGAACAAGCGGTACTACTTAAATGCCAAATGCTGATTTTATCTAAAAGTACAGAACAGGTTACAAATCTCTTCCAACTTTGCATTTTCAGAAGTCTGCAACTTTTTGGAGGAAGAAAATCCACTGGGATGAAAGCTTCCACAGTCTCAACGTAATTTATAGCTTATTATACAAGGAATAAAATCTAATGCACTACCATTATTTTAAAATCTAGCTAATAGCTCATTTCACTGAAAGTTTCTTTGATAGTATTTTAATTCAGGAAGTCAAGTTTGAGACTGTTATCCACATCTTGTGAAGCACAAAGTTGAAACAGAATTTTAAGATTGAAACTCAGTGTTAAGGTTACAGAGTCAAATACATAATCTTCAAGAAAACGTACAGACACTTGTCTGGAAACTGTTAACAGTCCCCCTTGTGCATCTGTTACCATAGTCTTTCTCAATATCAAGTCATGATGTGGATGTAGTGGATCAAAATCCAAACAGATCATTCTACTTGTTTATAATGTGCACTCAGTAAAACTCCTGTAAATGAATGGCCTACTGGATATCAATTAAAGACCATCACAAAATATATGATCGATCTGAATTAAGACTGTACATCAAATGTTAATTCTAGCACTTGACTTTCGCAGATATGAAATTATGTTGTGGCTTATGGTATACAATGTCTTTATTTCTGTTTAAAAAACACAAATAGAAATTCCATCGGGTGGAAGCATACTGACCCCCTGTACTAGATCCATGGCACAGGCCTCTACCCCTTGAGCTAAAGGAGTAAATGAAAGCAGCAGGAGGCAGCTATCCTCTGTGAGCCAGCCAGTGGTTGGAGACATGACATGTTGCCAGTAGTTTACCTATTTATTTGCTAGACAGAAAAAGAATATTAGGAATCAGGATTTGGGAATCCTACACCTGTGTTCAGAAGGCCGTGGGATTTAGCTATTTGCTGTACTATAGTTGAGCACTTGCATTTGAACATTAGTTCTGCTAAACCAAGGGAAAAGTGAACAACTCATAGGTATGGCATATTAACGATACAGCATCTGCTTAATGAAACTTTTTTTTTTAAAAGCTCTTTCTTTCTACAATCTTGTCTATAAAACAAAGGCTACAACATCTTCCTGCCTCCTAAGCGAGTGAAGCCTTATTCAATAAAACTATTATTGTACACATTATTTAAGTTTCTTTCCAGTAGATTGCCAAACCTTAATAGCTTTTAGACCAGTTTATTTTCTTGAAAGAAAAAAGGCAGCACCTCACAATATGCTCGTACCCGTATTTCCAATGGAGAGAAGGGTAACGAGAAGATGTATAACCATACAACCGTGATTGGCCACAGAAATTTTAAACATGGCTTTAAACTGGCTCAGCATACATATTTGTATAAACTTT